CCCAGTGCCACCCCTTTCTCCTACCTCTAGCATGTCACGTCAATGTGACACAGGGTGGCAGACTGCTAGTCATCCCCAATATCCATTCCTCCTTCTTCCTTAATAGTACAGACTTCCCTGGCTTCCCATGAGCACAGGTAAAGATGTAATGCCTAGCTTCCCTTGAAGCTAGATGTGGACATATAGTTAAGTTCTCTCTAATATAGATAGGGACAGACGTGGCTTATGCAACTTCCAGAGAGGCTGTTAAAAGCAAAGGGTACACTCTCAGCTTCCTTTTCTTATGGGCTGGAATGTGAATGTGATGGTGACCTATCTTGGATCTTGTGGACAAAGACATCTCCTCCCCAGAGACGGGGGACAATAAGATACAGGGAGGCCTGGGTCCCTGATGGGCATGATACCCCTCTGTCTTGTGTAAGACACAGTTTTCCTGGTGTCTACTGTAGGTGTCCAACTGTAACCCAAGTAAAACTGATAGATTATTATTATGGCCCTTTCACAGATGAGGAAACAAGTTTTCAGAGTGACTTACATGCCATGACAGTCAGGAAAGCGCCAGCTCTGCCTGGCTCTATGCCTGTATTCTTTCTGTTATACTATCTTGCCTCAGATACTGTGCAGGTGATGTGTATGCACCTGTGTGTGTGCATAAATTTAGATTGCTTTATTGAATGAATCTTTCTGAAAAAATTAAAACTTTAGAGATTATATAATATTTTAATTGCACCAGGGGCATCTGGGTTTCAAAAACATGTTTTCAAAGAATCCTTCTGTAAGGTGAAGGCTAAGTCCCCGGTTTTGTTCTGTCTTGTTATGCAAACTCAGATTTTCCTATACTACATTCAGTCTACTTAAAGCAGATCACACACACACACACACACACACGCACGCACGCACGCACAGATAAATATATCTCAGTTGCCTCTGTAGCCTATGACAGTTGCTTTCAGGCTTCATTCATCACGTTGGAGGAGGGAGCGATGCAGACAGATGAGGAGGACAAGATGAGTGATTCACACTGCTGAATTTTTAAATAAAATTTCCATGGACCAATCACATTTGCAGTTTAAATTGCTTTTCTGTTGCATGAGTGCTTTAGAAACTAAAAACAAACAAACAAACAAACAAACAAAAAACATGAGAAGGAAGAGGATGGAGCAAACTGAGACCTTGGTTTCCAGCCTGAAATGGCCATGAGTCCAGAGGGAGTATATTAGCATCCTTCCTTAATCCTGCCATCTGGCAAGGCTTTGCCCTGGGATCAGTGAGAGCCCATCGTGCAGTACTACCAGGAGGAAAACAACCCCAATTACCAACAGAACTAAACCGTAACTCCTACGCACACGATTTCAGAAATGCAATAGAAGGGGCCGCCTGCTCATTGCAGGGCCAACAATTCACAGCGCTCACTGGGGCCGGTCTGTCGTCACAGAGTAAATCATATCAACGGTACCGAGCTAATGTTAAGGCTGATTTTGTTTGTAATCAAGGGGAATGGTCTGCTTCTGAAATTACGTTTACGTTAACGAGCTAAACCCCATTTGCTGCAGTCTCTATTAGAAGTAAAATTTCGGACCGAAAATACTGGGAACGAAATGATACTGAGATGAGACTTCGGGTTTGAGAGGACATGTCAGCAGTTGAGGGTCTTTGGGCTGGAAGACAGACTTAGAAATAGACAGACTTTAATTCTCAGAGTTGCACAAACATGCTCGGGGTGGGAGGTGATGGCTCAGAACCTGAAGAATAAGGGAGGACGAAGAAAAGGGAAACTGCTGGTTAGCATCGTCCCAATCTCCCTTCTAGTACCCAAGTCTAAATCCCACCTCACCACCTGCTTGTTCTATCACGATCGTTTTGAAATCGGTTTCCTGCTCACTCCTGCCTTCCCCCCATCCACACTTACGTCTTCCCCATTCCACGCTGTAGTAAAGCATGAGGCTCTTCTCTCCCACGATTGAAGTTTCACACTTTCTACCCCTGGCTGGGAGGACCGGAAGTCTCCTTTTATCAAAGCCTTTCTCGCCCCCTAGGAGGGCACAGGACCCGAGCTTGGACGATCAGACTCATTCTCCCAAGACTCACATAACATGGAGCCGTTGACTCCGGCAGCAGTGAATTCTGCGGCATTCTCGAAGCTTACCTGCCCACAGCAGACCACACCTGAGACACTTCCCATCCTATTTAAACCAGATTCTCTGGCTCTTCTCTCGGTTTCTGATCCACGCAACCTCCCATCAATTCCTCTTTTGTATGACCTTTGCCCAGCGTTTAATTTAGTGCCTTTCCCATAAGGAACCTTAACTGATACCTTTCTCCTAAGAAACTTAAGCCCGGTCTACATGGCATCTAGTGGAGGGGGAGAGAAGAAAGTCAGGATTATCCGGTAAATTTGGGGCTATTTTTAAAGATCGTTTGTGGTCAATTGAAACTTGGAAATATCCTGTGAGTAGATGATATCACCAGAAACAGGGGAGGTAGTCATGGTTAAGAGCAAAGCTCCGAACCCAGACCATATGGGTTTGAACCTCACTTCTTCCACTTCATGACCTTGGGCTTACAGGTAAAATGGGGAGAGCAAGAACACATTCCCCCCACCCCCCAGGGTCGCCAGGAGCATGAATGACTAGAAATCTGTGAATGTATAGAATTCATAGAGCAGAGCCTAACACTAGTGAGCATTGTAAGCATGTAAAATGTGATTATTAAGACTTCTGAAAAATGGTTCTAGTATTTTTGCCATAAGCGTTTTTGCTGTAAACATCTTTGCCGCAAGCATTTTCGCTGCACGGCTGATTGGCCATAAGGCAACTTCACTGTCAAAGAGAAAATTACTGGTTGACAGTTTGGTTGACATTTGGCA